CTAGCGACTGGTTTCGATGTGTCCTTGTCATTCCTTTCCACGTCTCGAAGGTGTTCTCGGAATCGGTCACCTAGTCTTCTGCCTGTTTCGCCGATGTATATCTTTTTGCAATAAGTGCAAGTTATGCAATAGATTACATTGGCGGAGGTGCACGTGAAGTGATCGGTGATCTTAATGGATCGTTTAGGTCCCGATATTTTATCAGTGTTGTGAATGAAAGGACACGTTTTGCATCGTGCACGAGCGCATTTAAAAGTGCCTGGTTGGTCATTAGTCTGAAAAGAACTTCTGACCAAAAAATTGCCTATGTTTTTGTCGCGTTTGAATGAAATGAGCGGAGGCTGCGAAAAGATAGTGCTTGTCTCTGGATCGTTTTGAAGTAATTTAAAGTTTTTAAGAATGATGGATTTAACTGAGTGGTTGTGAGGGTGAAACGTGAGAGTGAATGGAATGCGGTCGGAATCTTCCTTATGCGACGTTTGTAGTGCTGAATGTCGATCAATAAGTTGGGCGCGGTGGTAACCCGCTTGAACGACAGAAACAGGGTAACCACGTTTATCGAAAAACTGGCACATTGACTCTGATTTGTGGTGGAAATCAGAGTCATCACTACATAAACGACGAAGTCTTAGAAACTGAGAAAAAGGAATGGAATTCTTAACGTGAGATGGATGCGAAGACGAATATAACAAGTAATTATGCGAGTCTGTAGGTTTGTAATACACACTAGTGCATAAACCGTTACCTTCAATTGAAACTTTGATGTCTAAAAAGGATAAAGAATTGTCAGAAATTTCCCAGGTATATTTCAGAGCCGGGTGAAAAGAATTGACTGCGGTTATGAATTGAGTGAGCTCCTCTCTGGTAGAGGAGGTAGCGCCGATACAGTCGTCGATGTAGCGACCGTAGAGTTCAGGTCTGGACCCGTTGTATTGGCTGAAAAATTGATGTTCGACAAAACCTACAAAAAGATTGGCATAGCTAGGTCCCATTTTGGTGCCCATGGCTACACCATTGGTTTGTTTGAAGAAGTTGTTTCCGAATGAAAAACAATTGAGTGTGAGCACTAGTTCGGCTAATCGTAGTAGTGTTTCAGATTTAGGTTCCTTATCAGTACGTTGATAAAAAAAATGTTTAAGGGCCAGAAGGCCTTCGCCATTAGGAATGACAGTGTAAAGAGACGTAATATCCATGGTGAAAAGATTGTTTTGGCCAAGGATATTAAAGTCTCGAAAAATTTGAAGAGCGTGTTGGCTGTCTTTAATATATGATGGTAAAGTTTTGACGGTGGGAGCCATAATTTTGTCTAGATAGCTGGAGATACGTTCGGCAGGGCAACTGCAAGCTGAGACAATGGGCCGACCCGGGTTGTTAGGTTTGTGAATTTTAGGTAAAAAGTAAATATGAGAAGTTCTAGGAGTGGTTATGATGAGATTTTTTGCTGTGGCCGGCAATTCTTGTTTAGTTATGAGTTGGTTGATCGTATTCTTAACGGAGTTAATCGGGGGGGAGGGGGTAGCTGGCGGTTATGATCTCTCGGCAAAATTGAGTCTTTTCAAACAGTTATTCACAACTAAAATTGGATTGCGAGATCTTTAGAAAAATGGGAAATTAGCACGCTACGAAAAAAAACACGAAGTCAGAGGGAAAATGGTATTTTCCGCACTTTCTCCGAAATTATTTTGACATATTTTTGCCCCCTCTGCGTGTAAAGTGAATTCAGAGGCTTAACTATCGAAAACTACCCTATCTCAAAAAAGTCTCGTTGAGGAATTTTATCGTCACATTTATTCACTTGGGCACAACTTTTCCATTAAGTTTCAAACTTGTGAAAAAATCGTTAGACCGACTTTCAGTACATTCACTGTGCAGTTTTGTAACTTAATAGCTTCTACTTCTCATACCTGGTAACCAAACTATTTTTTGGTAAATCTGTGTATGAAAGATTAGGGTTTTTTAGAACCTGTATGTATGTTTTACTGAAATTTATAAGCTGGGATAAACATTTATGGGGAGGTTAGGTTCCGATATTCATTTCTAATAAGACGTACACGACCCAAAAAAGGCTGCTTGTGATAATGGCCAGCTGATCCCTCACACTGTGAATTTGACTGAGCTTACCAGCGACTAGACGATGGCGTTTAGTTGGTAAAACCGCAGGCAGACCCCAGTATGCGTTCATGGCAAGGAACTGTTGACATGACGAGTGACATCTGTGAGGGTTATGAATAAGGCTCAGAAAATATTTTCTCCGTACTCTTCTATAGTTTATTTCTTTCTTACAGCACGGGATGACAAAAATTTATATTCTTCAGGAGGAAAAAAGGTATTTTTTGTTGTGACGGATCCGGCTGCTTCAGCTGCAATTCAGTTACATTTTACATTGACTAAAACAGAGCGTCCTGGGGAAACGAAATAATTTAGTCTTCGATCATGCTTTGCTGTTAGGTGAGGTATCAGTCGCCTAGTCAGTACACTAATGATGCAATCGTCCGCACGCGTTATCTCCACTTGAGCTTTTAATGCCTTGCTGCCACACCAGTTACATTTCGGTTGCAGTGCGAAATGCATAGAACTGACGGATGTGCGTCGATGGAATTAGCGATCAAAAGTAGGATTCTTTTGAACACTCGTGCGATCGATACGATGCTGAGATATTGCCGTACGATTTATTTCGAAAGCCGGACGCCAAAATTCTCTAAAATAAGATTAAAGTGAAATGATAGATCCTTATTAAATGATTGAACATATGTTGACATGGTGAAAATTTGCTCATGTATCGAACGTTCCCTCGCTAATATATTTTTCGGTAAGGAGGGGTAGATACAATAGACGGCAGAATCAATAAAAAATCAATACTAGCATCAATAATTGACGTTTAGCGGCAGCTACCCCTGCTAATCTGAAACAGTCGCTGGTAACACTGGCTTCATTTTCGGATAAAGCTGAAATGACATCATCGACATCGACCATAAGCATTCGGTAGCAGAAGTAAGCAGCATACTCAGGTGAGCGAAATCCCCTCCCAAAAACATTGAAGGGGATGGTTTCAATGCTCTTAAAAAGGATCGGGCAGGCTCCTATTATCTGCTGACAAGGGTAATTGTGTTGTATTTATGGACAAACAAAGCTTTGTCCCTGCTCAATGATAAAAGTACGTAAAAAAAATGCAGTTTTAAACTCTGATCCCACCAGTAAAACTCAAAGAAAGTTAAACAAAATACTGTTTGATTTGAAAAAAGCTGGTTACCAAAACTTCATAAGCCGTGAACTTCTTTAAGACGTATCATCTCTTTAATAACAATAATGATAATAATAATAATGATGATAATAATTATAATGATAATAATACTCATTCCGTGTGATTTCCGAGTATGAGGAAGAGTATCCAGCATGGTTTTGTTGATTTTGTGAAGGGAAAACAACGTTGATCCCAAAACCCGGAGAGTTTACCAGCGACAACCAACGACCCATTACTTGTCTAAACACGCTTTATAACTGGTTCACTTCGTGTCTGCTTGTCACAACAAACCAGCATCTTGAGGAGAACGATCTAATGGAGGGTGCGCAAAGGGGGGGTACGTGCAGGGTGCAGTGGAACAACAGACAACTTATTGATCGACCGAACAGTTCCGTTGGATTGTCATAGGAGGAGGGGGAATTTGAGCGTGGCCTGGAATGATGTTAAAAAGGCGTACGATTCTGTAGATCATAGTTGGTTGAATGGGGTGATGACGTTACACAGGTTTCCCACGTGGTTGTGTAAAGTCATTGCTAAACTGTGTAAGAGTTGGAACACAAAGGTAGTGGGGATCACAATGGAAGGGAGACAGACCTCCGAAAGGATTAAGTTCAACAGAAGGTTACCATAGGGGGATGCATTGTGCCCGAGGCTGTTCACCGTATGCTTGAACCCAGTGGCATGGAAGATCAGAGCCGCTGAAGGATACCGGATGTCCAAACCTGTTAACAGCAAGGTTACGGGACTCTTGTATATTGATGATATCAAGATCTTCGCTGCATCGAAGAGTAAGCTTGAACGGGTTATGAAGATGTTTGAGTCATCTATGGAGGATGTGGGGCTTCAGTGGAACCTAAAGAAGTGCGCGGTGGCCCATGTGAAAAAGGGGGTACAAGTGACTGCTGTCTCAGGGGGAAGAGTTGTGGAGTCGACTAGAATACCATGTCTTGATGATGGTGAGCGGTACAAGTTCCTTGGAGTACTTGAGAGTGTTAGGCAGGAAGATAAGCTGGTCCTGGAGTGTGCAGCAACAGAGTATCTCAGACGACTGTCAGTTATTTGGACAAGTCCCGTGTCCGATTATAATCGGGTGGTAGCGTCAAATCAGTTTCCATTGCCTGTTCTTAGATATCTTATGTGGACACAACAGTAGCCGGTGATGGAACTTAAGCAGATCGATAGGGAAGCGCGCAAGATTGTTGTCGAGAGTGGGGGTAGACACCTATGTAGCTCGAATGCATTGTTGTATATGGCAAAAAGTAGAGGAGGGCGGGGATTGCGCTCTGTAGAAATGGAGTGCAAAGCCACAAAAATGAAGGGTGCAGTCAGACTCCATGGTAATGAGGATCGTGCACCGGGAATGGTACGGGAGTTTGAGGAGCCAGCGGCAAGGATGGGGCGCAGGTCAAATTTTAAAGAAGCGGCTAAGTGCACTGAGGAGTTGGGGCAGGAGTTGGATTTGGAACACGCGCAAGGGATCAAGAAAGAGGTGCGGAGGTGCCAGATTGAGAAATTAGAGGATGAGATCAGAAACCAACGATGGCAAGGGCGTCTAGTGACTACTAGGCTGGAGGATGAGAGTTTGAGTGCCGATGGGTGTTTCTGGTGGCTCACAGAGTGGAAGAACTGCCCATCACACACAATTGCTGGACTCGTCGGGCTATACGAGCAGCTATTGCCAACGCGAGTATACACGATTCAGAAGACCCACACAAGCGGAGAAGGCGAGGTGAGGTGCAGATTATGCGGCAAGGCTCCAGAGAGTGTGGCACATATCTTGTCAGGATGCAGTGCGCTGGCCCAGAGCAAGTATCTCTCTAGACACGACGCAGCACTGAAGGTACTGTTTTACGAACTGTTGTATGATGAGGGATTTATAGACGAGATACCACCCTGGTACTCACCCGACAAGCCAAAGCCTGTGTATGAGTCAGAGAATGTTAAAACTTATTTGAATGTCCCTATATATGCTGATCAACAAGAGGTCAGATGCAATAGGGTGGATGCACGCATTGTAAATCATATGTGCAAGAGAGTTATGACGCTGGAAATGAGCTGCCCGTGGGTTAACAGTCGGACAAGAAAGGATGAATAGAAGACACTGAAGTACGGACCCCTTCGCTGGGAACTAAGGCAGCAGTTCCCAGGCTACGAGGTGAAGCAATATAACATCATTATGGATGCCCTCGGGGGTGGTCACGGAAGCTCGATGTCATGATGCGCGAGCTGGTGGAAGGCAGAAGCACATACGTACTGCGAAAGATGCAGAGGGCAGTGCTCTCGGGCACGCTGAATATTGCCCGGACTTTCAAGGTGGCAGTTTGAGTTCCTGTTAGAAGTAGGACCGTAGAAACAACGGATAAGCTTTTTAGGATTAGCTAATGTACATTTATATTTTACTCCATGGCTCACAGGTTACGGTTTTCGCCCTGTGCTGCCTGATTAGAATGTAGCATTCAGTTGATTTCTGTGCGACATAAAAATAATAATTTGCTGTCCTTTGTTACGCAACCACTAACAAAGAATCTTCCAAAGCACGATATTCGGGCTGTAAATAAGCCCTTTAAAACTTTGCAACAAGAATTCCGTTCTCCTAAATTCAGACCACCTATTGAACACCAACCCAATGTGGCTTATAAAATACCCTGTGCCGATTGTGACTGGTGGCGTGGGTGAAACAGGCCGTGGCTTTGAAACCCGCAAGAAAGAACACATCAGAAATGTAAAGACATGTGCTAATGGTCAAACATTGCGAAACATGCATGGTCACTTGATCATCGCATTGATTTCAATCATTCTCGAGTTATCGAAAAAGGCTCTTTTCGTACCAGAAAAACGCTCTTTTCGTACCAGAAAAACACTGGAGGCTTGGCACACCTCTGCTCTCAAGAATGCGGACAATAACCCTAAGCCGATCCCTAATCCGATCCCTAATCAGTTTAGCATTCTATTTAAACAATAGCCACTCTTTCCATATTTTTCCTTTTTTTTCTTCTTAACACCTTTATCTCGCTCTTTGTATATGTTTTACTAATTTAAATTTCATGTTTTATCCGTGGAAGGCTGTAGATTGACAGCCGACAGCTTATGTTTTCTAAAACTTTTGGCCAGAGAACGTTTTCACTGTATTTTAATTAGTTCTAATTGAGCAACGACTACTACACGATAGTGTTCAATATGTATAGGTAATCGCATGGGGCCAAGTAAAATTAAGGATTACTCTCACGCGTGTTTTCGGAAGTTGCTGAAATTGCCCGAGTCGCGCAGTGATTACTTGTTTATAATATAAGGGGCAAAATGTTTTCTTACTGATCTCGCGCAAAACGGGACGCCATTGTTACAAAACAAACAGAAACTTCTTTACCTTGGCAGCCGGTGCTAAGCGATTCTCAGCCAATCATTTTCAAGCAATTTTTCCCGGGGAGATTACAAAAATTGAGAAAAAATGCTTCCTGTCTTGACCAATCACAATTCAGTAATTTTTCCCCTTATATGATAATGAACAGTATGAGAAAATAGCGTTAGTGTTCATTGGTTCTCTGATTCTTGATTCTCGCCTTTCTGACCAGACCATCGTTTCCTCGATATGTGGTGACGACACGAGCCAGCTTCCATCGTGATCTTTTCTGATTGGGGTCCGACTCCAAAACTAAATCATCGACTTTAACATTGTATTTGGTACGGAACCACTTGTTTCGTGGTAACAGATTTGGTGCGAAGTACCTCATCCAGCATTTCCAGAATTCCTTCACACGGTTTTGGGCACTTCTTAGAAGATGTCTGGAGTTGACCCTTTCTTCAGACTCTGGTTGAGGTGGTGGAAGATGATGACCTATGAGAACATCGTTTGGTGTGATAGGTGGACCTTCCCAGATGTCGTTAGAACGTAGATACAAAGGACGTCCATGATGACGTAGGTTGTCTCTGACAGAAATTTTCTGCACTGCTCTTTGGTAAAGGATTGACTCTTGCAGGTAGCATCGAGACTTTGTCGAACAGACTTGATGAGGGTCTCCATGACATCATTTTGATGGCTTGCGTGAGGTATATTCCATAGCCATTTGAATTCACGACAGAAATCCTCGGATAGAACACTTTGAATCTTCAGAATGTTCCAGATCCGCACAACTTCCTTTAAGTAAGCTTGTATACCAACAAAGTTTGTACCACAGTCCGACCAACAAACGCTCGGTTGACCACGCAAGCTCGCGAATCGACGGAACGCCATCAGGAAAGCATCAGATGTTCTGTCACTAACAAGTTCTAAGTGAACTTCCCTTGTTGCCATGCAGGCGAATATTACGACCTGGGCTTTTTTCAGAGTCTTTCGATTGAGCTTAATATGCATGGGTCCAAACAGGTCAATGGTGGTGTTGGAAAAGGGAGGAAAACCAGCTGCCATTCGTAAAGTCGGTATCTTTCGCTTTAGCTGGTCCAGTGGTTTCTTGCGAAGTTCCTGCAGGTGATGTACATTGCAGTGAGAGCCTTTGCCATGCTACAGAGCCCTACGATCCAGTAATTTCTTCTGGCTTTATGAATTAAGTTCATGTAGCCACAATGTGCACTCTTGGTGTGCAGATGACGCAGCAGCACCTTGACAAGTACATGGTCGCGTGGTAGGATTATGGGGTTTCTCATTTCTTGAGGCAACGATCTGGCATCTTTGAGTCGTCCATGAGCTCGAATTAGACCATCTTCCCCCAGACTTAGAATCAACTTCTTGTCAATGACGCATGGATCTAAGAGTAATTGGCTCCACTTGAAAAGTTGATTCTCAGACTCTTTCAATTCTTGAACAGTGATAGGGCCTGTCTTTGTGTTTTTCTTTCTAACATTTTGTGCGAAATGGTGAACATATGCAAGTGGTCTCCGTATTTTTGAAAATGTCGAACCGGACTTCAGTAACTACAAAAAAATTGGGTTATCCTCTGCTAATTTGGCGTTAGTTTCTGTTGTGGCTGCCTCGTGTTTCACAGCGTTAACATCTGCGAAGGCTGTTTCCTGATTCGGCGAAGTGTCAGCCTTCTCCTGGGTTTTCATTTCCTTTAAGACTTCAGCCTCTTTTACATGGATACTTTGGTCTTCAGCTCGAAAACTGGGCCACTTGGCTTCGGAAAATTGGAGGAAAGACATTCCCTGTAGCCCGTATGTAAGTCGTGATGGTTCGATTCCTCTTGTGAGCGTGTCAGCGGGATTATTCTTCGACCTTATGTAGCGGAAGTCATCGACTCCGACACTTTCCTGTATCTCTGCTACTTTTACTGATACGAAGGGCTTAAACTTTTGTGATGGGGTCTTTATGCAAGAAAAGACGGTAGGGAAGTCCATCCACGAGATTCTTTTGCTATCCTGGATATTTGCGAACTGCAGTGACGTTCTGCAGGTGTCGTACATCCTCGTGAGTGTTAAACAACCCATGAGCTCCAATCTTGGAACTGATTTCTTTTTTAAAGGAGCAACAAAGGACTTGATAAGGACAGGAATGCATTTGTAACTTCCATTCATCAATTCCCACCGTACGCTTTCTCGCCTCCATCACAGAATCCATGTACTTGCGGTACCCCAACTGCATGACTTGGTTTCAACTTTCGGTCGAATTCGAAGGCAACCAGGTGGTTCATGGTTTGCACATTTTCTTTCCACTTGCTTTGAATACTCGCTGGCAGGATCGCGTCCCAGTCATACCCAGAGCTCCACAACCCTTGTATCTCGATTCTGAACTTGATCGTTACAGGTAGCACGAGACCAATGGGATCCCATAATTGACCAACGAGACCTACGCAACGTCTCTTTGTCAGGACATCCAACTGGCCAAGCTCGTTCTTTTTCAAGGTAAACTTGTCTGTCTGTTTATCCCATCTTAAACCAAGTATGTCTGTTTGCTTTTCACTGTTGGATTGGTCAATTTCTTTCTGATTTGAATGCCAAGCTTTGATATGGAAGTGACCTTTCTTGAGGATAGCATCAATGCCGTTGATGATCTTTTTTGTTTTCGCTGTAGTAACTCTGGACCCACCAATATCATCCACGTGCACATGACCTTGAGCCTCCTTTGCAGCTTCGGAGAACTCAGCTTGTGACAACCTTGCTAGAGTATTGATAGCGTTGGTTGCTATGTCAGAGGCTGGTTTATCGCCAAAGTTCAATCTGATTCATCGGTATACCGTTGGTGAGTCATTTGTCTTATTCCTCCACAGAAACCTGTGATAGATTTGGTCATCTGGATGTACCAACACTTGATTGAACATCTTGCGTACATCGCCAGTGAATGCTACTTCGTCTCATCGCCATGCTGCCAGTACATCGAGGAGGCTATTGATGAGGTTAGGACCTTTCTCGAGATGGTCGTTAAGGAAGAAACCATCGTGACCTTTTGAAGAAGAGTCAAAGACAAGTCGAACTTTTGTCGTCCTTTCTGGCGTGAACACTGCTTATAGTGGAAGATACCATTCTGGTTTACTATGATCAATTTGTTTGGGTGGAACCTTAGTCACAAAGTTCTGCTCTAATAGCTTCTGGACTTCTTTCTCGACAACTTTGAAGCAACCCTCTTTCTGGAACGACTTTTTAGCAGAAAACATCCTCTTCAGGGCAATGTCGTAGTTACTTCGTTTGGGAGGTCCTCCTTCTTTCCAGGCCATCTTTACTTGTATTCTCCCGTCGAATAAGGTAGGTAAAGCTGCAAGGGACCTCATGAATCTGCTTTCACGTATCACGTTTTCACTGCATGAACAAAGTTTGGTTAGTTTGACGCCAAGGAGGTCTTGATGAAGAAGTTTCTTGATATGCTCCACGGCGCTTACTGTTCCAGCTTCTATCAACTGAAATTCAGATGTGACAGAACCGTTTGACTCGAGCTGTCGCAGAAGGTACCATCCGAAACAGTTTTTTTTTTTGCGATAGGTTCCCCTGGTTCTCCGGACACTGTGTGGACATCAACGAAGGCGTCTACAAAAGTCTGTACCAATGAGGAGATCTATGGCACCGCTCAAAAGATGTAGCTTATTGGAAACGTTCTTCAGATGGGTGTAATGTTCCACGTGCTCTTTAGAAATTGTTTTGGCACTACTGCCTTTTTGGAGAGTAGGCTGGTGTTCGATTCAGAGTCCAGCATTGCAAGAACCTCGGTAAAATTTCCATTTTGGTTAAGACTTTAACTTTTTGTACAGGGCACAATCCAGTAACAGGTTTAGACTTGCTTTTCTGGTACACTGCGTTACCTTGGATGTTACCGTTCCATGTAGCTGATTGTCCTTGGAATTGACTTTGGAATGGTGCTGCTTTTGGATTCAAACTTGTGTTCGTTTCGCTAGCCTTTTCATTGTGTAGAGACCGATGGTGGTTTTTTCGACATTTGTCGCAGGTTGAACCATTTGGTTTCTTGCAATCGTTTGTGTGATGCGCCCTAAGGCACTTACGACATCGCCAATGTTGCTTGACAATTTCCCACCTTTTATTGACTGTTAAATTCTGGAACTTAGGACAGGCAGCCAGGTAATGTTTGGTTTTACAGTCGAGTGGACACATTTCGTCGTCGGTTTCATCCCTGTTAGTGGTATTAATTAATGTCTTTTTGGGAACTTTCTCTGGCCGACTTTCATTTCGTCCCTCAGAGACGGTCCTGGTTTTGCCTCGTGAGCGAATACTAGCTTTCTGATGTAACCAGATGGTGAGATTGCTGACGGTTTCTTCGTTCCCTTCCTTTTCACTTCCTCTGCCAAAATTTGAATTGTCCTTTGGATCGAGTTTGGACAAAAGCTGGGACACAAGGAGCGGTACTTCTGAGGATTCTAGCACAGGACACCCATTATCTCCCATATTGCTTACGGAACAAGCTATTGCGGTGGCGAAGTGTGTAAAGGACTTGGAATCTCCTTTCACTGGTCTGAGATTGTTTACTTCAGATAGCAATTCGTCCATTAGTTTTCGTCTGTCTGCGAACTCGGTATCCAAAATTATCCACGCGCTTTTAATGGTCTTACAAGTTTTCACTTGGTCGGTCCACCACGATCCGTGTGGCATCGCATTTCGGAAACGTTGCAATTGTTCGTCTTTATCTTGGTCGTATTTCATCATCCAATGATTGANGCGAAGTGTGTAAAGGACTTGGAATCTCCTTTCACTGGTCTGAGATTGTTTATTTCAGATAGCAATTCGTCCATTAGTTTTCGTCTGTCTGCGAACTCGGTATCCAAAATTATCCACGCGCTTTTAATGGTCTTACAAGTTTTCACTTGGTCGGTCCACCACGATCCGTGTGGCATCGCATTTCGGAAACGTTGCAATTGTTCGTCTTTATCTTGGTCGTATTTCATCATCCACTGATTGAATTCTTTTTTCCATGTGGCATACGATCTGCGACATCCATTCCATTTCGGCACCGGTAACGGTTACAGAGCACTCTATTTGGGTCTTGATACTAAGGTGTCTGCCATTTTTGCCACAGCTGTTGTTATAGTCGACATTGATGATGTCAAAGCCTCCAAGGTTACAGAGCTTTTAGAAGTTTCAGAGGAATTTTGTTCCTTTTATATGCGGCAAATTTCAAAGCATTTGAAAAAAATTAGCCTTCATTTTATCTCCAAGTTTCCTGGTTGTTATCAAGAGTTCCTCGTCAGTGTCAGAACTATCATCGACCAGTCTGTCCATAATGGTTTCTTGCTGCTTTTTGATAAGCCTGTATCCTGTCTCTTCTGGATGGAAAGCGGCTTCAAGTGTTTACAGTTCCAGCTTGACTGAGAAAATTATTTGAAATTCTTCTATTAACTCGTAGAGGGCTCTTGCAGCATTTTCCATCTTCTCTATGAGGATTTTGACGTCTACTTTAGGCGGCATTTTAAGTAGAATTCAATTTATTCAAGTTTTAACTCCAGCCTCGTTTTTATGCAGTAGGACAACCAGCGAGTTCACCGTTCTTATTTGATAATCCAGCAATGAAGATGAAAATGAAATGAAAATGTCAAACAAATCAGATATTCTCACTTGTCCTTAGCAAAGACAGTTCAGCTTAATCTTAATGAAGATCCGGTGTAATTCGAGAGCATGCACGACGCTTTCTTGTAATCTGTGACGGCTCAGATTGTCAATGATGCGAAGTTTGGCGGTCGTCGATGATTTCGCAATTCGACGTAATCTTCTATGACAAATTTTGACTGACTCGCTCCTATGGTTGAAGATGCTACTTATTTTGAAGATTAGCCCAACAGGGATCAAAGTCATCAGATTTTATTTCTACTAGAGTGAACACGGCCCGTTACATCCGTGGTTACGTCGTAGTTATCTGAGAATTAAATAATTTCGAGATAAATTATTTATTACAATATTCTTAGTCAAAGCGACAAACGATTTCCTAACTTACAATTTGTGTTTGTGAGCAGTTGGATCCCTTGAGTTGCTGTCTCG